AAAATTTTGATAAAGCATCTCAAATAGTAAATCTCTGTAAAATATGAGCTTTTAGTATTAATATTTACTCTCTAAAAATGAATTAGTCAAAAATGCCTAGCTACTACAGTTATTAGTGACTGATTTTTCACTTATACCTGGTTAACCTTGTGATACCATGGTATCCCCAACATTTAACAGCCAAAATTGTCCCCTGAATACCATAAAAAGTTATAAAAGTATAACAGTTTTTGAGATATAGTCAAATCCATAGTATATGGAAAATTGACTATATTTTAACAACCGTTCTACTTTTATAACTTTTGACGAAATTTTCTGATTTAGGGGACAATTTTATATGGAAATTGACAGCTAAATTTTAGGGATACAAATTGCTATTGACGAGAATTATTAGTGGCTGCTTTTTCGCTATGACAATAATTGTTAGTCATTGTTATTAGTCATTTTTGACTAATTCATTTTTGAAGAGTAGAGTTGAATATTTTTTTAGTTTTTCCTTCATTACTTTTGCATTAGTGAGCACTTATATTTTTGAATTAAAAAAATCATGATAATTAACGTGATTCTAAGGCAATTGATGGGCAGCCACTGCTTTCGTTTGCGACAGCAACAGTTGTCAGCCCGTTAAAATCATCGACAGCATGCTGTACCGATAAAAACCACAGTTAAACAACTGGTAGACTAACTTTCAAAAAAGCGCAGTTGTTTATAATTCTACGAGACCGAAGAATTTGTGGAATTTGTTTAAAAAGCTTGAATAAAAATTATGTGGTTTAGCGGTATTAAGGGAGAATATTTCTCTAGTGAAAATACCTACTAAAATTACAAAAAATTATAAATTTGTTTAAAAAAAATTAACAAAAATATAGCCAACTATATTGTAATATTATAATAACTCTGTTTACTTTTCACCGCATTTTTTCTTCTTAAATATCAACAAAACAGGTGCAAAATCATAAACAACTGTTTTTGACGTTTTTGGTTCACGATCCGTTAATAGCAACGTGGTATTTCCCTTGTAATTTTTAAATTCCCACATTGTTACAACAATGGATAAGTAAAATATTCGCTTATAAACATTGGGTCATTTTAAAATTTGTAATTTTTGTGTACTTAATTTAACATTTTATTTTTTATAAACACTGATCTAAAAAAAAAATATCATTATATACTGAATCCGATGCGTACCCTAACTTTAATATATATTCGCTTTTGACAATTTCAGTGACATTTCTATACGCAGTGTTATTTAAAATCTTAAAATAAGTTGAGTAAACGAATTATTATGTTCTGTTAAACAAAATTTGTAGGGGAATACATTTAATGTATTCCCCTACAAAATTTTTTAAAAAAAGCTATGGGAACCCAAACTAAAGCAAATGCAGCGAAAGTCTCATAGAAAATAATGATAAGAAAACCATAAAAGGAAGAAGGATTGTTTAATTATTTAAAAAAAATAACTTTTAATAAATAACAAAACAGTTGTTCATTTTATTAATTTAAATTCTTTTGTATCCGTTTGTCCGTTAGTCCGATCATCCGGGAGCGCTCTTATTGGTCCTATTATAATTCTGAAATTATGACATTTCAATCGGTCCGTCAAGTTTCAACTTCGTACGTCTGACGGAGAAGTTTACAATAATTTTAACTCATCCGTCACTACACATCTGTTTTTGACGCCTAACGTTATTTTAATATAATTTATTTTCAAACCTTTTAATATTTTTTTAATTGTGATTGTAAAACGGAGTTATTACGTTCGTTATGAGCATAAGGTCCTTCTGATATGTTTTTATTGAATAAGAAGAATGGAAAAAAGACAAACAAAAAATATTAATCCTTTTAAAAATTATACATTTTAATGGCAAGTAGTATATTCTTTTTATATGACAGATAACTGTTAAAGTTACAATTGTTGACATAATTGTAATTATGACAATTAAGCTTTAGGTAAATTTAAAGTTAATATACTGGCCCTTAATTACTATTTGTCGCCAAATCAATTCGTTAAACGTCATTAAAAAACGGATGCATCAAAATTAGAACATTTCTTGTCTCGACAAGAATTTTACTGAAAAACGGACCAACAATATCCCAGGATAATCAAGTGTTCGTAATCCTATGATGCCGGTTCTTCTATACGAAAATTACAGATTGATAATTTTGGTTGGACACAGTCATAAATGCATACGAGAAAAAAAATATTAATTTTCTATTATCACGTTAGACGAGATATATATATATGCATATATGCATTAATTAATGTATTTAATTAACTCATATCTTATATCATAACAATAAAAAATCAATGATTTTTTTTCTCGTATGCACTGCACAGTTTGGCAATAATAAACATCCCGTGTAGACTTAGCAACTTTAATTATGTTTTACTCGGAAACCAGACGGTCAATGTTGTGGACTACTACAACCTAGACTTATTTCAAAATTTTTTCATAGCGACTAATATCGTGCCCGAACCTGCTTAAGAATGTGTTTTTGTCAAATTTTGTGGGAGATATAATTGTATATTCTATTATAGAATATCTTTATTCAACTAAAACAATCTCATCTTTGTTAAAAAAAGAACGATCGTTTTAAATTAAATTTGGCAAGCATCTGCAGGACGAGTGCTCGTTATCCTGGTTTCTGTCTGGAGTCCGCCATGGAATCGCGACATTTCGAAGATGGACGACGAAGAAGGAAAATGGAACGAAACGTAAATTTGCGACAGCAGGCCGCCTTCGACTATCTGCTAACGCTAACTGCTCGAGATAGGAGAAAGAACCCGTGAGCTCGCGGTGGACAAAGCGTCCTGGCGCACCGTGCCCCAATGAAAAAGTTTATTTTATAATAGGAGTTGAGTCAAACCACGTCAAGTGGGTCCAGAAAATTTAACGAAATCACCGATTTTGAAAATAATCATATTATTGTGTAGTAGGCATGACTCATATGTCACAGTAAAAAAATTGTTTTAAAATTCGTTTTTTTTGGTAATGTTATTAAAGTTGACAATTTTGTCAAACTTTAGAGCACGGTAAAATTGAAAAAATAGAATCTCTGGGACCACTCTGTATAATTGAATTAAATTTTACACACTATTGTAGAAATGTTTAGACTATATAATGATCATTTAATTAAGGTTAATTTGTTTAAATAAAAGAATTTTGTATACATTTATTATAAACAATTGAAATTTTGTATGTGTTCTTTACGCTGAAAAAAAATTAATCTTGTGTCATAATATGCGGCAAACGTTCCCGTTTAATAAAATGTACTCAAAAATTTGTCCTTCATATGTCATTCCGGAGATATTAAATTTTTTGTCCCGCTGTGCGCTTGATCAGTACGTGGCGCGCTGAACGAAGTTTAAGTCACATAAAAATTCCGCAGTTTCTTATTCGGGATCTTTTTTAAATCAGCAAAGAGTGCCGATCAAAAAACTTCAACCAATTTTTCGTTCAAAATTGAAAACTACTAAAAAGCCTAAATTAAACAACATTTTAAATACTCTCTAAGCGTTATTTTATTAAATTTTATTGCAAATCTATTTTTTTTGTGAAAGGTTAATAACAATGCCATTTTGTAACCTGATAGACGTAAAAATATCTAAAAAAAAATGGGGATAAATATTTTTCGCGTGTTATGCTAAAATCATGAATTTACGCTTTTGCATTATTAAAAATAAGTGATTTTTGGCTAACCCTGTATATATCAAATGATGTGAACAGTATTAAAAAGTAGTCTCCTAAATAATATACTCCAATTTTATAAAAATCGGTGTGCAAATGTGAACTCTGTCAAAGAGATAAACAAAAATTTAAAAAAAATCATGAATTTTCGAACAATTTCGAAAAGAGGAGCAGCTAGAACTTTATAATATCATTTTTAAGTCACCAAAGGGTCCCGAACAAGAAACTACAATCAGTTTTTGCCGGCATTTTTATGTGACTTAAACTTCGTTCAGACACAACGTTAAAACGTTAGAACGGACGAGCTAGCAACGAAGCGCGCCGCGTACTGATCAAGCGCACAGCGGGACAAAAAAATTAATATCTCCGGAATGACATATGAAAGACAAATTTTTGAGTACATCTTATTAAACGGAAACGTTTGCCGCATATTATGACACAAGATTAATTTTATTTCAGCGTGAAGAACACATACAAAATTTCAATTGTTTATAATAAATGTATGCAAAATTCTTTTATTTAAACAAATTAACCTTAATTAAATGATCATTATATAGTCTAAACATTTCTACAATAGTGTGTAAAATTTAATTTAATTATACAGAGTGGTCCCAGAGATTCTATTTTTTCAATTTTACCGTGCTCTAAAGTTTGACAAAATTGTCAACCTTAATAACATTACCAAAAAAACGAATTTTAAAACAATTTTTTTACTGTGACATATGAGTCATGCAATAATGTGATTATTTTCAAAATCGGTGATTTCGTGAAATTTTCTGGTCCCACTTGACGTGGCTTGACTCGTTCTTCTTTATCAGGGCGGCATTATTACTAAAAATCGAAATGTTTTGAAAATATGTTTTTTTAAATTAAAATGTACTATTGTGCGCCTTAACATATAACTTTAAACTTGATTTGTGTTTTTTCAGTTCAACAATGGTTTAGAGAGATCGTTGAAGTATTTATTGGCCGTGGTCGCCGATAGCCAAGTTGCAAATCACAGTAATGTTCCCTCTTTTCTTTGCGATTGCCAAATGTACGTCGCCTTTTTAAATCCGGACCAAATTACGGAGAACAACTTTATCCCGGAATTACTTGAATGATCCATTGCTTTTTTCATCTTATTGTACTTACCTTATTTGCTTTTTCATCATATTGTAGGTTATGGGATTATTGTGATTAATAAAAAAATAAGGATTTCATAACATATATTTATTTGAGCTTTCATTGCGATCAAATACAACAAAATATTAAATAAAGTTTAAAAATTTTAAATAACATAAAAAGAGCTTTGCCATGAATATCAGCTAATGCGTATACATCTTTTGTATTATTCAGTAGTATAATTATTGATAAATATTTATTTAAAAACTTTCTTGGAAGATGAGATATTACGATATACGTATACGTAGTATTTGTGTATTTTTTATTTGAAACTTTTATTAGAACGTAATACTTGTTCAAGATTAAATTAATATATTTTACACTACAATTTTTAGTTTGTAATATTTCCAAACGTACGGTGGGTCATTTACCAACAACTAATTTAATTTTTATTTCTAAACGTTTAGGACAGATTTATTTGCGTTCAACATCGCTCAAGACCTAAAATCCCCAGTACGTTTACATTTATAACTTACGAATCATTAAAATATTTTATCTTTTATAGATGGGGTGGGATTTCAGTTTGAAGATGCCAACACACAATTTAGTCCGCTTTGAAAAGTATACATCTTACAATACTGACTTAATAATAAATATTTACATGTATTTTGTGACTTAAAACTCGTATAACAATCATAATCACTTGAGAGATTTTTGTAGTTCCGCAATGAATATACAATTGTATCACTATACTACATTTATTACTATTGGTTTTTACGATATGATAACATCACAAAACGCCGCTCAAAGCGGTCACGTCTTCAAGACTATATTTTACAAAATAGGAATGTTTATACTGAACACTATTTACACATATTTACTAGACAATTGTTTGGCAAGTTCTGTATACTTGAGAAATTTCGAATGCGGACTCTCCTCGAAGCCGGCCGGTGTAGGTGGACTCTTGCTACCGACGGAGGCCGAGCCGCTCGAGCTGCTTGGCACCAAAGTTGTACCCTTCAACGGCACCCCGGCATTCGACGAACTGGATGGTTGCGATGATTTCAAAGCCACCGGATCAGGTATAACGCCATCCTTCACGAAGTGCATTTTGGACAGGTGATGTCTGTATGCTCCCTTCGAGATGAAAGGAGTATCACAAAACGCACACTTCATTATAGAATCGGAAGTCATCACTGCGTCATTGCAGGCCCAGCTGAAAGCCAGTATTGCACCAGGAGTGGTACCGCTGCTTGAAGAGGTCACCGTACTAGTGGAGTTGGAGGTTGCAGGAGCGGTGGAGGAGTGCGCACGATTGTTAGTATGAGTTTCAGTCTTATCGCAGAGTTTTTGTAGTGCGGCTAGCGGATGACTGGAGCCTCGTTTGCCTGTTGGTTGACCGTTGTCGTTTGACGAGTTGGCACCCGACAAACTGTCAAACATCGAACTTAACGCGCCCAAACTGCCGCCACCTGCTGCTTTTCGCTCGCCGTTTGTGCTGCGTGGGGTGGCTGAACGGTCACTGCTGGCGGGACTCGCATTGCTGTTCCGGCAAGGACTCGCGGGAACGTTATCGGTCACGGGCGTCGGTTGACGAGGACTAGGCATGGGACTGCGTTTTTCGTCGTCATCCTTGCCGACATCGCCGTTTGAAGGGTAGCGTGTGTCTTCCTCGTCGTCTTCAATCTCGCGCTTCACTTCCTGCTTTATTTCGCGCTTCACTTCATGCTTCATGTCATCGTCTTCGATTTCCCTTTTTACAACAACCTCAGCTTTTTCTGACATGGGTGATTTTTCCCTTTTTATATCGGGAGTAGATCTAGGCGTGCTAGTTATCGGAAATCCTGGAGGTTCCATTTTTCTTTCAGGCGTAAGAGAATCTACCCTACTACTCCCTCTCTCGGAAATTGAACTAGATTCACTGCCGCTCCTTTCACGTCTGCCATAATGATGGCCCTGCTGATGGTGATAGCTTCTGAGAAGATTCATCGTTTGAGCATCTACTAATGGTTTAGTATAATCAACACTTTCATCGATACCAAGGCGTTTGAGTATGCTGGAACCCATTGGCGCCGAGGCAGGAGTATGGCCTGGGAAAGCGTTATTTTGCCTGGATCTAGAATCGAAACTCTTTTCAATTAACTTCTCAATGGCATTCAAAACAGATGGTGATGATGCGTTGTTATTTTCATTTGTAGTAGTGGTTTCCTTTGCACTTAAATCGCTTACTGATGGAGATCTTTGTTGAGGAGAAGGGGATTTTTCGGTTTTGATTTTGTCTCTAGTTGGACTTTCTGGAGGTAGAATATTGTTGGACATCAATGCGTTCTTTAGAAAATTCCTCTGGTTACTAGTCATTCCGCCAACGCATTGTCTAATATGGTCGACAAATTGAGATGTTTCAATTTTATTGCCACACTTTTCGCAAGTGATTCTACCCGCGCCAGTAGGGTCACGCATCTTCTCAATTAGGCCTGCGTTATCTCCATTTTTAAAGTCATGTTGAGCTCTTTCTAGTTCCAAGAGCTTACGTACTGGGAGGGATTTCTTGCGCTTTTCTCGTGTCTGTCTTCGTCTACCTCCACTTTCGGTAATTGACCTCATTATGTGTTCTTTGTAATGAGAGTTCTTAACCATGTGATTGCTTAATTCTTTTAGCGAGCTGAATGCTTGGTCGCATACTTTGCATGTCAAAACTGCGCTGACGTGACTACTGGCACCACCGGGTGGAGGATTGTTTCCGGAACTACCACCTCCACCGCCACCTTTCGGATCATCGGAAGACCTCCATGAGATTATTTGCTCTTGAGAGATAATGTTTGTATAATGCTGAGTTTGTTGCATATGAGCTGTCATTTCGGCCAAAGATCTGAAGCTTTGTCCACACCACATACACTTTAAGATTTGTCTGGTTTGTTCAGCACCTTTTCCCAGCCATACATCTTGTCCGCGTACCAATTTCCTTGGTAGTGGCATTGTCTCTTTTATCAACATGTTCAGATCGGATGGGTTAGGTTTGGACGAGTTCGTCGACGAGGTGCTTGTGTTAGTGTTCGAAGGCGATGAAATTTGAGGTTGGGGCGTTAAGTTTTGTGATTGCATGGGCGGGACGGGCACGTTGACTCCACAGTGTTTAGCTTCCTTCATGTGAGTTGTCATCGCTGCTAAGCTAGGGAAGCTTTGTTTACACCAAACGCACTTTAAAACGTCTTTAGCTTGTTCGGCTCCCTTATTTAGCCAGTGAGATTGCCAAGCGCTATGACGGTTGCTAGCCGAGTTGCCTGGAGCGGCATTGGCCATAGTACGGAATAAATCTTCGCCGCCCAGTTTACTCAGTTCGCTCATTTTCTCTAATGCTTTTGTTGCATCGCTTGGAGTGGGTCCTACATGTTTAAGCTTGCCATTCCATAACTCTGGAGTGCTATTTTTGGGAGACAAGCTAGCAGCTGCAACAGCAGCAGCGAAGTACGGTAGATGGGACGCACCCAAGGAAGCCGGCCATTGAGGAATCTGAGGTTTGTATTCGGTTCTTTGTTTACGCTGAGGTGGTTGTCCCAAAATTTCTTCGGAAGTTCTTTTGCGGCTGCTAAACGATAAATCCAAAGGCCCATTGCCGACTTCTCCGCTTGGAGGTGTATCAGGTTTGCTCAAATTAACAACATCTGAATCGCTATCGCCTGCATCGCTCCTGTGACTTCTTTTACTAAAGTCCAGAATACCATCACCCGATGGCGACTGCATGGGTATGTCACTAGGCGATCTAATCAAACCCGGCGGCGATGAAGACGAAGAAACCAGCGGGGAAATTGAGCCTCTATTAAAATTCGCTGGCAGAGGCGAAGTCATCATCAATCTATGCGATTGCTGGGCAACGGCTGCGGCGGCGGCATTGAAATAGGCGGCCATGGCGGCGGACTGAGGTGGTAATAAAGCGGCGGCCGCAGCAGCGGGTAACGTAGGCGGCAAAGTGACGCCAACAGGGCTCAAAGATGTTCCCAGGGGGACACCGCGTAGCAGGGCTGCTCTTTCGGACATTATGGACTCTGCAGACGGACTTCTTGGCGGTATGGGCGATTCCGCTGAATCGCGAGAGTTACAGCGGGAGTTTGATTCTCTGCAATTAAAAATATAACATTAGTACATAGAATAGTGAAGCATAAACATTTTTACTGTGCCAGCTCAGTCTAATAAGAATTAATACCGATTAGGGGACATCCATTAATTACGTGAGATAAAAATAGGCGGAGAGGGGTCATTTAAAATCTCACGTCAACTTTTGGGTTCAAAGAATAGAAGTATCATAATTTAAATTTGTCAAAAAAAATAATCAATTTTTTGTTTGGGTTTATCATGTTGTCCGCAATGAAAGTTTAATGGCTAGAAGCTCACGTGAGAGATAGGAAGGGGGTCCGCATCTCACCAAATCTCACCAAGGGGGGGGGAGGGGTCCAAATTATCAGAAAAATGCCTCACGTAATTAATGGATGTCCCCAAAGATAAATTTTTAGCTGACGTTCATACATTAATTTTAAACTTTTTTCTCTTAGTGTAGTAATAGTAATAATAGTTTATGTTATTGATTTTTACCTGCAATTATCTTCATTCATTGACCTCGGAGTGCCCGGTGAAGGCATATCACCAGGAGTGGGGGATTGAGCTTCATCGTCTTGAGGAGCAGGCGATACTGCGGAAGTAGGTGTCATGGATCCGGTGTCTTCCTCACCATCAAGTTTATCACCTTCTTCTGGAGAGCCTTCTTCGCCACCTTCCCCTGTAACAAAGATAAATAACATATTAGCAATTTGTACGTAATTGCCATTGCATTCAAATATAATGCTTTCGACTTTAATAAATTTAAGCTATATAGGCGACAATGATTATTTCAGACATTGTAGTAAGTGTTCGTAGGTTCGGAAGCAAAACCAACAATGACACGTTGTAAGTCTTGTATTATGTAAAGAACCAAGAAATGGTTTCCTGTCGCGTATTTCTCATATAATTTATACACATTCTAGTTAATTACATTTACACTTCATGTAAACTCTCGATCGTTATGTAATCGTGAATAATGATACCAGTATCCGTTCAAAGAATTCCATAAAATATTTTTGCAATATATCCTGTATTCGCTGCGCAAGGTTTCACAATGAGGAATGGGCTTTAATCAAACGTAACGCATTAATAACACTATTAATTTATTGAACGGGCTGCACTAAATCATTCATAGAACGACATGTACGGTTCTCCTTGAACTATCACGTTTTTTAACGTCTCCCAGTATCAGGTGCGATAATTGATAGGTCAGACTACTTTCAACGACGTATATAATCCGATTTATTAGAGAGAATTATTAGACAAATTGTAAGAAAAATTATTAAACACATATTTCATATCCGCAGATTAATTTCAACTAAACGCATAAACTGTTCACAAATCGTGGATTTTAATATTCCTGAAATTAAATTAAGAGGAAGAATAAAAACTTAAACCGCATATATCATAGTAAAACGTGGATGAGAAAGCGAGATAAAATAAATCGAGGAATAAGTTTTAAGAGTACCATAAACTTAAACACAATTAAAGCTTATCTTGTATATATTATTACACCGTAAAGTCTTGTAATATGTGATGCAGCCAACACGAACTGAGGTGAATTTTAAACGGGTCATTAGGAATAAGTGATAAGATTTATTGAGGATCGCGTTTTAATTTAAATTTTATTTTTCAAAAACGAACGTTTATGTATCTTTTTATTACTTTAAAATGTAGTATTTAAAATTAATTACCGCAGTATAGGTTCATAAAACTCATGTTTGTAAATTCAGAGAGAAGTGAATATGAAATGTATTTGTGTTGTTGGACATCATCTTCAGAGTGGCATCTGGTTCTGGTGGTATCAGGAGGCGGGTGCACCAGTAGGTTCGTGTCCAACAATGAACAATGGAAGCATAAATCAGCGTAATTAGTTTCAGTAAAGCTGCTGTATCTACATGCTCGAGTCGAACGGACCGATTCATTGGTCAGAGATCCACCGTCGCGGCCCGACTTCGTACACTAGAGCTCCGCCTTTCGCAGACTCTCTCTTCTGCCCCACACTATTCTCAACAATTACGCTGTTTGCATTGCGGATAGCTGATCAAGTAGCGTAATGCTCCATGTTGGTACAAGCGTTACGGTGCTATCGCTTACCGACATCGCACATGAGACCCGAGACTTTGTCTCCCCCCTCCCTCTGTGACAACCGCGAAGACTTGAATTTATTTAGTTCTGTTTACTACCGTCATAAATTACATTACTCTAGGACTACTGTTTGTTTTCACTACTTTAAATCGTTGTAAAAATGTTAAAGCTAAAGATGCTTGAGCATTGGTTATGACTTCTGAATGTTCGAGTAGCGTTGTCATTTTAAAGAATGGTAGCAGCGAGCAGTAGATTTTTGCGGGATGGGTTGACAATATAGTGCAGTGTCGGGCAGGCAGAGGAATGCCTCAAGAACAATACCGCGTACCGCTGGCAACTGATTTATTCACCATTGTCCTTCATCGAAACGCATAATTCTCCTGTAAGGCACTGGCCGTAGATCACGACTCGAGTCTCCCCGATCTAATGCTCCCTTCTTATCTGTCTGTCAGAGCTACCTGTGCAATTAATTCGCAGAATCCTAAAAAACGGAGCGGAGCACGAGAGCTGCTCAATATCGCTAATCTGATTGCTGTTAATGAATGTGCGAGCAACCGGTGATCTGATCTCGGGCCAATTTATAGAATCGCCGTTGTTCGTTGCTTGGATTCGTCCTTCTTAGTGTAACTGCCCCTTAACATGAACAATTTGTTGATAGCATCGGCCGAGACTTGTACCAACTAACTTCTGACCAGCTATCTTTCGTTTGTTTATGAGCCAATTTATGTGAACTCTGCGATCTATTCCTTCTTGCGCACTTATACCTACCATCTTCGTACACACATTTAGTATCAATAGCAAAACCATATCCTTACATCCTGACCAAAACAATTTATTTTTACAGGAACAGAAGGTGTGGAAAAATGTGGTCAATTTAATTTATTTATTCTTCTCTTTTCGCTCGTAATATCTCCATAATTGTGAGAACCGAAGGCTCATAGAGCGACTCGATAGGATTATATCTTGCAGGAGATTTGGCGCAATAACGCCCCGTTGTCCTTTGGCAATTTCATGCGCCCATTACGGACACTCATGTCCTTTCTGCATGTCCCCTGGCCGGCTTGCGATGTCCCCATTACATTGTTACACGACGCCCGACTCGGAATTTACTGCCCCATTTGGCTTTGTCCGCGACGAGCATTCAACCAACAACCGTCCAGATAAAACTCACGGCATAGTGCGGACTTAAGGAACAAAACGATCGCTAAATTTACTTTCACAAAGATATTCGGCATTATCTGCTTGTCAAATCTTTATGCAAGATTATTATTTTGAATGTAAGCAACAATGGAAAATATTTGTCTAGTCGGCATTTACTTATTTTTTAATGGATGATTCTGTAGATTAATTTTAAAATATCAACACCAATGATCACGTGAAAAGTGGCCTTTTACCTCGTCACCGTGTTTTCGATTTAAGTGTGCATTCTGTTTGGATCTTTTGGACCTCATCAGTGCCAGGTAGCCCTTGGTCGTTATGAAGCAGTCGGATATAGCGACAGCGGTGAGCGAAAGGAATTCAGCCTCATCTACTGCCCAGAGGACGAGGCAAAATTTTGAATCACTTTATAGCTGGAAGAAAAAGACTTGCTACTCTAAAAATGAATTAGTCAAAAATGACTAATTTAATAGTAATTAGTGGCTGATTTTTCACTTGTACCATGGTATCTTTAACTTCATCTCAAGAAAACATGTTTGATTGGTTCAATAAAAATGGAGTGAAACTAAATTTAAACAAAACCCAGTACATTAAGTTTGGAGAGTACAGATTTTCAAATGTGTTTCCAATTTATCTTGAAAATGGTTTAAAGATTGAATTGGGTTCGTCAGTAAAATTTTTGGGTGTAATCTTAGACAACAAATTTACTTGGAGAAAACAAACAGAAGATGTCTTAACCAAAATAAATAAATTTTATTATTTGCTACTAAACTTAAAATTTGTTGTACCAAATGTGTTGTTAAGTGCCTACTTATGTATATTCGAATCTAAGGTATGGCATTATTTTTTGGGGGAATTCAGCTCATATATCGAATCTTTTTATTTAAAAAAAAAATGTATTCGAAGTATATTTAATCTTAAACCTACAGAATCCTGCAAACCTATTTTTGTTCAAAATAAATTACTGTCTGTCCACTCTAAGTTGGCTGAACTAAGGAATTTTGTTGTTTATATATTAAAGAATTGTCGTGCTGTGTGCTTTTAAAACAGATTTTATATTATAAATAATACTAGTATATAATATGTACTAGTATTATTTATAATGTAAAATCTGTTTTAAAAGCACACAGTACGACAATTCTTTAATATCTAAACCACAAAATTCCTTAGTTCCGCCAACTTAGAATGGACAGACAGTACTTACTTTGCCAGATATTTATATTTTTGAGATTTGTGTATTTTATAAAAAAAAAAACTATATGTTATTTGATCAAACTACTCGCAATCACACTTACTTAACAAGAAATAAAGAATTATTACAAATAAAACAAACGAAAATTAACACTGTCTATAGAGGTATTTCTAACCACGCCTTACTTGTATATAATATGCATCCTAATAGCCTTAAAAATCTTAATATTAAAAAATTTAAACCAGCATTAAAAGAATATCTAGTAACTAAGTGTAATTATAGCGTAAATGAATTTTTAATGTAAATCTTAAATAAAATGTATACTTTTTATACTCTGTATTTGTTAATAATAACCAAGCAAGTGTTAATTTAATATTATATCTACATATAGGTAGGTTTATGTTTTTTATATATTTTTTTTGTTCTGACGTGTTCTCTGTTGTTGTTATACAATCTTTTTTGAACTAATAAAGATATTTCTATTTCTATTTCTATCCCAAAATCTAATGCAAAATTGTCCCCTGAATCCGAAAATGTCTTAAAAAGTTAAAAATGTACAACAGTTTCTGAGATATAGTCAATTTTCCATTTAATATGGAATTGACTATATCTCAAAACTGCTCCACTTTTATAATAATAATTTTGACGGTATTTTTAGATTCAGGGGACAATGGCTGTTAAATTTTGGGATATCATGGTATTTCATGGTTAACCATGGTACAAGTGCAAAAGCAGCCACTAATAACTATTAAATTAATCATTTTTGGCTAATTCATTTTTAGAGGGTAGGCAGTTATGGCCGTGACTTTGCGGGTAATCCAGTGTCAAACACCAATGATCAAGTCGAAGATGGATTGAGAGATGTATAAAACATTTCTATTGTGTTCGATTATAAAAATTATTAGTAGACATATTGACATGTTCAAGACCACTCCAGTTGCAATTCATTCTCCATAAACGAAACAATTATATCAACATGTTTCCTGTTATAATTAAATACAATTCAATCAATCATTTCGTTGTTTCTCGGTCAAAGGAGATCCATCAACTTCATTTCCCCTTTAAAAAGATCCTGTACCTGGCTGATGTCTGTACAATAGCCATCAGCAGTAATATAGGCTGAGTCATCTCAACAGAAATATTTTTTTAATGTTTCAATTGAAGTACATTGTAACCAATAGATTTGAAAATGCAAATTGTTAACAAACCATAAACAACAGTAATATATTTCCTTCTAGTCA